ACATATCTCCTGTGTTAAATATGAGCTTATATTTTTTCCAATTACTTGATTATCAAAAAAAGTAAAGGTAAGAATTATTATATAAAAAAAAAATACATTGTTACAAAATACATATTTGTAATATTTAATTATATATTACAAAATATGTAGAGCATAGATATTACTACCCACAACATAAGGAAATAGTTATTTTTATACTTTAACATCACCGTCATAAAAATCTTAACAACGTTGAGTGTAATCTCATTTAGTTGTTAGTACTATTAACATTCTGAAAATATTTTTAACCCATTTTATTCCATTACATCACTGTCATTAAAATTTTAACGAGAAATTCGATTATAATTCTGATTAGTAAACCGAAGATTATCCGAAGGCTAAAAATTAAGTTTAAATATTTTTAATATTTTTAACAGGCATATAATTCATAACATCATCCTCGATACGCTGCGTAATTAATAACTGCGTATTTAATATCGAATGCGATATTAAAAATAATCTCGCGCGCTCGTTCATGCCATTATAGATTGCGATTGGAGCGACGAATACATTGCTCCATAACAGGTACGAGCACGTGCATTCCGCATTCGCTTTATTTTGAAAATGTCGTGATTCAATCGTTTGTGATATTTGACACTTACCGATTTTATACGGAGGCTTGCCGGACATGGTGTTTCAGTGTGTTGTGCTCAGATCGGTATATAGAAGGCGAATGAGAGTGCGAACTGCGAATTGCGAACGTTCAATCTAATAACCTATGAAATGATATACTGATACCATCACTGCGAGAACGTTGCCGAAATAATCCCGAAGGTGGCCGAAGGCGAAACGCGAGATTGTGTCGGATCACGTGATTCTTCGAGATTCGATTATCGCTGGCGCGACATCACGTGACTGCGCTCAAATACGTCACCGTTTCAGTTCTTGTCGCGCGCGTTGTTTGTGAAAATGCGAGAGTTTGCCGGGTCCGGAAATGAGAAGGAAATTGCCGTCAAGAGGTACATTTATGCATTTATTATTGTTGCTTGACGAATGACATCGACATTAGTAATAACCGCTGGATATGAACCGTTATTTTTCGTTTCGTATTCGCGATTTCATCGCGATTACGTTCGCAGCGATCATTTTGGACGAGATTTTCGGATCGAGTAGCCATGTTCGAAACGGGCAATTGAAAATAGTTGATTGTTCCAATTTTATTTGTTACGTATTATAGAATAGATATAAATAATGATTATATGAGATATTTTGGGGATTATTCATCATTGATCATTTGTTTTATTGGATAATTTATTAGAATAAATTATAATAAAATAGATAGTCTAAAAAATCGCGAATGCGCGTAATCATGTAATCATAATTACCCTGAATGATTGTGCAGAAAAAGCAGCTGTGCAATTGTAAAATTCTTTAATACGATTGCAAGTCTCATTCTAAAACCTTTACTGGATTTAAATCTATAAACCAATAAATCAATCATATATTAAAGAATTTACAATAGTTGCAAAGCTGCTTTCTTTGTTGAACATAGTCATTTTAATTGATATTTATTATTAATTAACTAAACATAATTTAATGTAATTAAGTTTGGTATTATATTATATAATAATAATTATTATATAATAATAATTATTATTATTATATAAATAATATATGAATTACATAAGTATCATTAACGATACAGTGCATTTATTCATTGAATTAAGTTAACAATCTGATTTATCGACTTATTTATCGATCTAATGTAATTTAAATAGGATCGATAAGTCAGGCTGTACTTCGAAAATGCGAATACATATTGCCATCACAAGATGGCGTGAGTTGGTAGAATTATGGATTGTAAAGTGTTATGTACCAGAAATATTGAATATTTCTCAAACTTAGTGTAGATTATCGCAATATGCAGTTTTATTCTAAAATAAGTCCTCAATGTCTTTAAAGTTTGTTAAATCGAGTTTTATTAATGAAATACTTTGAATTAAATTAATAATATAAATATGACTTGTTTTCGATAAAATTTTCGTTAAATTAATAAAAAATTAGTTATTTTATTTATATTAATTATCTATACTAAAACTAGAAGACAATACTTAATACAATTTACAATACAATTTATAATTACAATTTAAATTAATAATATGAAAGAGAGAAACATTAATTGAGATTTTTTTAAAATAAATAACTATTAATAAGAAATTTTGAACATATAACAATGACGATAATTAATTAAAGAAAATACTTTTTTTTAGAACCAAGATATGAAATTATGTTTTTGATGAAATTACACGGTCAAATACTGGTCTCTCTGTTTCAACGCGTATAATCTTTAATCTTTCAAATCGAAGTCTTCAAATTTGGATTTGTTCTTTTGTATTTTTTTAAGCAACTCCTTCGCCTCGTTTCTTTCTTGATCTAGCACTGGATCTTTATCGATCCTCTTCAATTTTGGAAGCATTGTTAGAATGATTCGTCTATATTCCTTCTCTTCTTTCTCTTCCCTCAAAAGAGGATTTCCCAGGACGATAAGCGTTTCCAGATTTGGTAAACAATCTAGCTTTTTCAACTCTGAAATCCTCGGAAGCTCGTTGTCGCGAAGATTCACATAGTTCAAACTACGACATTGCTCGGTGAAACCGTCTAGATTCGCGAGTTTGTTACTTCGCAAGTGTAACGTCGTCAAGTTCACAAGGACTCCGAGGTTTTCAATCTTCTCAATTTGATTCTCAGCCAGAAATAGCCGTGTTAGATTAGGACAGCAGATTCCTTCGAGAAGTAAGGAATTTGAACATTATTCAGAGTCCAACGAGAAATGACCATCAATTAGACATTGAATTAATATTGTATTGACTTTGAAATTATTGTATCAATGTCGATTTGATATCAATTTGATGAGTTATTTTTTACTGGGAGAGAAGTCGGAGTTTTTAGCCTCTAGAATCCTCCTTTCTTAATCGTTTAAGATATTTGGCATTTCCCAAATAAAAAGAACAATTTTATTGAAGTATCTAATTTAGATACAAATCTGCAAATAATTTTGTTGGACCATCAAATTAATTAAGAACACAAGCATGATAAGCAATGCTGTAAAAAATTTTAATTCTAGCAACTATTGCAATTTAAGTGTCCCACATAATTATTTTGTAGGTCCAATAAAATTATTTTCAAGTTTATATTTAGCAAAATTTTTAGATACTTCAGCAAAATCGTCCTTTTTGTGTAGATTTTTACGATTAGTGAGTGACTCTCCGGCCAGTGAAAGCAACATGAATGATTCCCTGGCTAGTTAAGTTGCTTTTACAATTTATGTATATAACTCCTTTTCTTTTTTCAAAACTACGTGAATTAGAACGTCGTTTGTGTGATACGTTCTTCTCTCATCACATTTAAAATTCCAGCAGTAATCAGATTTCATAAATTATTGTAAAAGCAATTAACTGGTCAGGGAGTCATCCACTTTGTCTTAGAGACTGAGTTCCTAGTCAGAAACAGTTCCTCGAAAAGACATCGTTCCGATGTCGTTACGATGGACAGTTATAACTTTTCCATACATTTCTGTACAATTTATCGAACTTCAAATTAATATATCTCAAAGAAGAAAAAATTGTTTTGAGATGGTTCAAAATGAATTTTGAAGGGACCGTATAGTAGTAAATGATACTGATTTGACAACAAAAATTTTCTCCATTTTTAATTTAATTTCGAATATGGTGAAAATGGCTTTTTTGACAGTTTTAGATTAAGATCTCGAAATCTTGATAGAGCAATTCTGCAGTCAGATTTGGATTCAGCGCAAAAAATTACATAAGAAAATATTAAATCATAATCAACAAAAAAGTATGCAAGTCTATGTAATGATCTCGTTTTTGCATGTCTCAGTACCTGCAGTACTGACGAGTGCATTGCCGCGTAGTTCCAAAGTCCTCAAGTTTACGAGAATTTGAGGATCCACATTTATTGTACGAATATCGTTATGGTTCAACTCCAGGCGCTCGAGCGATTTATGACGGATGCCAGATATATCTGTTAGCTTATTCCAGTTTAGAGTGAGCTCCTACATTTTTGAAACCGTGTCCAATTATAAAATTAATGTAAATTAACTTTAATGAAAATATTTAATTTCTGAAAATATTTAGTCTCTCTTCTTAACAACTAAATAAAACCTGCGGCACACAATGCTTTTTTCTGCTGGATTGTTTGCATTTTAATAAATTATTACAATTGCATTACGCAGAATTTCTATATAGTAATTTACTAAGAGTAATCCAGCAAGAAAACATGTATCGTGTGTCGTTTAAGAGAAACGTCTATTAAATCAAAGTCAGCTATATGTTAAAATAATAAATCTATATGTATTTTAAATAAATCTGAGATATATGACTATGTGCCGATTACTTTCAGACTTGTAATATAATTCAGATAATAATACTTCCAAAGTAATCTTACAATTAATAAGTATTATTTAATCTCTATTTATCTTTTATCCTTTCCTATCACAGAAAAAAAGACTATTCTTACTCAATCATAATATGCTTATATATAAACAAAAATATTGTAATTTTGTTTCAAAGATTTTAGTCTACATTTGATTGAATTTGTGTTGATGCAAGTATTACATTGCACTCAATTTAAGACTTGCTCAGTCAGAAATCTTGCATCAATACAAATCAAATCAAATCAAAATTACAATATTTTGCTTGTATACATATAAATATATTATAGTTGATTTAAGAACAGTCCTTTTTCTAATTCTAATAATAAGAATACCAGAAAAAGATGAAGAATAAGTTGAATTGTGATTACAATTAAATTACATTGATAGAAATGGATATTACTAATACATATTTGTTATGTGTAGGATTTCTCGATGAATTTAAACCTCATTTGAACGAGAATCAAAGCGTGATGGGGTCACCTGTAGATATGGCATTGGCTTTAACTCCATACTGGTCAGACAATTTCGGTCCGCTCGCAGTGTCTGCAGATATGGTATCGTCTCGAGTGCACACAGTGCTTCTGATGTCAATTTATTTCCCGATACGTTCACATAACGAACATGTTTGAAGGATGCTATCACGCTGATATCCGTAAGACCTCTATCCGAGGCATCCAGGTTGAGATAGGCATACTCGTACAGCGTGATACATTTTCCTAAATTGTGAAGGCACTCACCGGCCTCAGCATATGTCAACAGGCGTGTATCACGCTCGACCTCGTCCAATGGAATCATTGATTCATATTCAGGCTCTTCGTATTTAGGTTCTTCGTATTCAGGCTCTCCGTATTCAGGCTCTTCATATTGAGCCTCTTCACCATAATCTTCCTCTTCAGCCAGCTTCTCTTCGGCTTTTTCCTCATCATAGTTTTTGTCTTCCATTTGTTCTTAATCAAATTGAAGAATAAGAATGCACACATAATAATGATTTTATACAATAATGATAGATTGGATTTATTGGATTTATTTATAGCATTATATTAATAGAAAGATTAATAGAATTTATAACTCTTTAAATTCTTTGGAGTGGATCTTATTCTGAAGAGTGAAAATTGAGTCAGTCTTTAAAAAGAAACAATTTTCTATCTTTAAGAGATTTTACTCTCAAAAGTTTTATAAAATAACATTTCTTCATTGGTATATTCAATATATATATATATATACATATATTCAAAAT